GTCTGATTTGCATATTCTCATTTGTTGTTGTGAGTCTCTTAAAAACATAAATAGTTGAACTCTCATTTATCTTCCTTGTTTGTGTAGGCGGTGCTGTATAATGATCGTTCTGTTTTGGAGAATCATCATGCAGCTGCTGCGTGGAACCTTTTCATGTCCCGGCCCGAGTATAACTTCTTAACCAACCTTGACCATGTAGAATTTAAGCATTTCCGTTTTCTTGTCATTGAAGCAATTTTGGCCACTGACCTGAAGAAGCACTTTGACTTCGTAACCAAATTTAATGCCAAGGTAGCTAGATTTATACCAGCCTTCACTTTATGGAGACATTACAAGATATCATAGAATCCAAGTGTTGAACAAAATTCAATTGCCAAGATATCAGTCTGAGTCCAGATGCCTATGCAGTTAAAGTGTTGTGTGCATATTTTTTTCTACAAATTAAGAATAAATTCTGAGTATCTTTACAGATTTAGTTTAATTTGCTCTCTTCTCTATGACATACTTATGTAAATTATCTAGTAGTATTAAAGATCAATGGGGAGCCAGGGAGATGGCTCAGTAGAATAAGCTCTTCCCTGATAAGCATAAGGGCCTGAGTTCAATCCCTATTTCCGCCACCAAAAAAAAAAAAAAAATCAAAAAGTTGAAGCAGAGGCTTGTGAGATAGCTCAGCAGTCTGAAGGGCCTGCTTAGGCAAGCTTAGGTGAGTGCCCAGGGATGACAGTTCCATCCCTGGCACCACATGCCACACCAGCCCTGCCTCATGGTAGGCTGAGCTGGCCACAGAACAACAACACTTGAAACAAACTTTCTTACATCGAGCATAAATGCTCAAATATTAATTCAAGAAAATTTCTTATCCATTGCTATATTATTTTAATAGCTGCTAATATACAATAACTTAATACTTACAGTCAGTTCCATAATTAATAATATTCTATCCATCATTTATTATTTTACTTTTCAGGTAAACCATTTTACTATTAATTTATGTAAGCCAATAACATTATTATCAAAGCTAAGGTTCTAATACTTTGGTAGTCTGAGTTTCACATGCTAGAAAGCCAATTAGTATTGTTCTTTTTTTTCTCAACTTTTGTTTTTCATTAAAAGTAAAATATTTTAACTTTGTCCCTTATCTAGGTGAATGATGATGTTGGAATAGATTGGACCAATGAAAATGACCGTCTACTGGTTTGTCAAATGTGTATCAAATTGGCTGATATTAATGGGCCTGCCAAGTGTAAAGAGCTTCATCTTCAATGGACAGAGGGTATTGTCAATGAATTTTATGAACAGGTAACTTAAACACTTAAACTATCTCAAGCTGTATATTCAGGCTGCTCATCAATTCTTCAAAACATTCCAGGAGCTTGCACACTTTGTCAAAAGCTCTCCTACACAGTTTTGATGAAGGAATTAAAAAATACAATGGAAAAATCAAGCCTATTTATAAATACTGAACTCTAAGATACAGTTATATGCTATCATTCTAGGGGAAGATGTTGAGAGAATGGAATGACATAATGTGACATTAGTAAGACCTTTGAATTTGTTTTCTTCTATAGATGTAGTTGTTATAATATGAAGTTATTTAAATTTATTTGGAGGAATGTATCACATTAAGTTCATTTGCTTTTCTACCAGATTTTAAAAATAGCATATAGAAATATTCAAAGTAATAGGAATTTTATTTGATGTATTAATAGGTTGACAGACTACAAAAAAAGCTATGACAAAATCCTAAGTTTGGGCCAATCCTCCCTACGGAGCTTTAAGTTGATTTGATTACACATGGAGCTTTTGACTTAGTATTGTGAACTACGCTTTTAAGAAGAATGTAGAGGCCCGGCCAAATAGCTCAGCAGATTAAAGCACCTACAAGCAGGTGCAGGGGCCAGGGGTTCAATCCATGCCATGCTGGCCCTGCAGTGCTGACAGGACCCTGAAAACCCTGTAGATCCTTCCTTAAAATAAAAATAAATAAATAAATAAAAAGAGTGTAGAAATAATGGTTTATGGCTGAAGGACTGGAATCAGTATCATAAAAAGACATAAAAAGTGAAAATATTTACTCTGGGAGAGATAGAGGTGACTTCTGATATTTAAAAGCTAATACACAAATTTATGAATAGATTTATTTTAATGTTACTTTGAAAAGTGAAGAAGGTAAACCATATTAAAGTACCTCTCCAGTCCCAGACAAGAGATATCAGTATAACCATACTATAGAAGTTACTGGGTGACAGAGTTGAAATCCATATCAGAAAAAAATATGTGTTACTAAAGGTGTACAAAAATAGGGTGGAGTAATTTATTAAGTAACAAATTGTTCCTGGAAAATGTTAAATAGGGATTAGAATGAACTCTTAAAGGTATTAGGGTATTATAATCAGGATTGATATACAAAATAAAAGATTTGTGTTTTTATTTTTAAATAATATATTTATTTTCCAAGGAGTGAGATTAATACATAATTATTTCTGAAAATTTAAAATGCAGAAACAGGAAAGGAAAGGATTATCCACTAATAATAACACAACTGCTTAGGCCTAACCAAGGCAGATACTATATTTCCTTCTTTAATTAGATAACTTGTGGTTTAGGATGTTATTTTTTCCCAGAAAAGTTAGAAGCAGTTCAAAACATGTATACAGTGATACTATTAAAGATAATAACAATACACACATGGAGAGAAAACATTCTCTCAGGCTTTCACAGAGAGCAAATTGGTCAAGCAATGGCTGTGATTCATCCACATGGCTGACACTGACAAAGGATCTACAAACTGTCGTACAGGGTTACAGGATAAATCCTGAGGGGATTTGACTGACCTTGTCAGATACAAAAGTTACATTTCTTGTAATATAGGTCTTGCTTTATCTCGGTCTTAACCATCCAGCAGAAAAGTATAAAAATGAGGTATGAAAAGTAAAGTCATATGAATATGCTGAGCTGTAAAAGGCTCAAGTCAACAACTTCTGACATTGCTAGTCCTACAGATAACCCACTATTATTATGGACTACTGGACTATATTGGATTATTTTGCTGAATTCATGTACCTACAATATTTAAATGGCAAGGGAATTCCCTTCTCTGACAAAACTAAACAAAAAAAGGGGATACAAATGAAGGACCATTTTTTATCTATATATACAAAATAAGATAGACATACAGCTACTTTCTCTTAATTCAATCAGAAGATTTGTATTAATAATGTTTTGACAAGATATCATATCCACATCTTGTACTATGAATAACCACTACGAAGACAACAATATGCAATGTATTAAGTATTGAAACCACCCTACTAATTGGTTTTGAAATTGTCTCATTGCTATTTGTTTCCCCATAAAATTAATTTTAAAAAAGATAATGAAGATGCAGAAAGCAAAATCATCCTAAATGTAATTCAAAGAAGATATTAGTTTGAATAGATTTCAAGCACCCAAGTGAGAAAAGACAAGCAGGATACACTGTATATTTGCTTCATTATCATTTGAAGTACTGCATTTTAAGATTCATCTATATTCACATTTAGAATAATGACTAGTGTAGTCAAATTCCATCTATTGATATATTTAACATTTCCTTGATCTATATCTCCCTTTGATAAAGAGCCAAAAATCTCATGCTCATAAAATTAGTAAGTGGCAGCAACCAACCATTTTTCTAGCAGTCGTAGTGATTTGGGTAGAATTTCTTAGCAAAGAAGCAAAGGAGTTTGCACATGAATGTTTGAGTTCTTGTACATCTGTACATTTTATCTTCCAGGTGAACCCTGACCCTTCTTGTGTCTTAGACCTGTGTCCCTTACCTTCCTGGTCAGCTACTCATGCTAAACGCCTCTTCCTAGGGTGACGAAGAGGCCAGCCTTGGCTTGCCCATCAGCCCCTTCATGGACCGTTCTGCTCCTCAGCTGGCCAACCTGCAGGAGTCCTTCATCTCTCACATTGTGGGGCCTCTGTGCAACTCCTATGACTCAGCAGGACTCATGCCGGGAAAGTGGGTGGAAGACAGTGATGAATCAGGAGACACTGATGACCCCGAGGAGGAAGAGGAAACGGCGGCAGGGAATGAAGAAGAAACCTGTGAAAATAATGAATCTCCCAGTAAGTGATCAACTGGAGTTCTAACAGGATTTTCAGAGATTGTTCCCTTATGGATGTTCAGCTGAATTTTACGCTTCTTATGAATTATACCTTTTGTGTTCAGATATCATCTTTTGAGTTTGATTATAGATAGTCCCTTCATAGCACGATGGAAATGGCAGACTATGGTATTTGTAATAATGCCACATATCATACAAATGGCATATGTCATAATACCATACCATGTTGCAGGATACGAGGTATCACACAGACATATATTCCTATCCTGAAAGAATTACGAATTGAAACCCATGCTTCAGAATATTCTAGGGATTTGGAAAGAAAAGACTATCAGTTGGCATGTAAACCAATCACAGCCTTCGTGGGAAAGCCATGTGAGGCAGTAAAATACAGCATTTGTTGGTTCATTTAACCTACAGAGTACCCACTATGTGCCAGGCACCTTTACAGATACTGAAGTAGAGCTGCAACCAGCAAGACAGACAGACAGACAGACACACAGACAGACAGGCAGGCAGGCAGGCAGGCAGACAAATCCTTGCTTGTGCAGACTTACATTCATGGGCTTGGCTAACCTAAGCAAGACGTATCAGTTTATCTATAATATGTTACATACTGATGAATATTAGGAGGAGAGGGGAGATAGGAATTGCTCAGCAGAAAGTTAAAATTTTAGCTAGGGTAAGCATGGCCAAGAAAAATGTACTGCAGATAAGAGAGATTTAAAAGAAAGAGCTTAAGAAGCCAGAGGCTGATTCATCTGGCTATGTGACAAAGAAGATTCCAAGGAAAGGAGAAACCACCGTGCGCAAGGGTCCCAAGGTGAGCTTCAGCTGGAGCGGCAGGGCTAGGAGGGAGGGAAGAAGAGAGGAGCAGGAGAAATGCAGATGGCTTAGGGCTTAGAGGTAGCACTTGTAACACTGAAGAGTTTAGTTTTTACACTAAGGTGAAGACCATCGTAGGTTTCAAGCAGAAGAATCAGTGGACTCATTTAAATTGTGATGCTTCAGCTGCTGTGCAGGGCCTATTCTTGAGGTGATAAAATGGAAGGGTGATAAGAAGGCAGGGCCTCAGAAACTTGAAATGAGTGAGAGGTGACTGACTTTGGGTCAGAGCAGTGGCAATAAAAACAGATCACATCAGTGATTGGCTTGGAGTACGCCTGGGGGAATCTAATCCATTTAACTTAATTGGCTATGAAAGCATTATTATTTTCTATGCCTTTAAGTGTACTCTATATTTCTGCTGCTAGCTGATAGTATAATTAGCAAAACCCATGACCCTTACAATAATGCTACACAAATACCATTCTGTGTCATAGAGCACAGTATAGAGGTGTTTTCCACCTGCCTGAACAGATGAGAAAAGTAAAGCCTTAATATTTTTCAGAGTCTTAGTTAAATAATACCAATGGAAGGCTTCCAATAATCCTGTAACCCTATTTGTAATCGCAATTAGGAAAATGAAAAAATCTTGTTCATTTCAACCATCTTATAAAGAGATTTCCTTGAACTTGTGTTGATGCATTTTGTCTTCCTTCCGTCCTGAATGTCAGCACTCTCATGCAATGGTGAGGAGATGTGGTACAGTTGTGCAGTTGGATGAGCAGGCCTGGATTTTGCTAGTTCTATGTTCTGCCCTATTTACATTTGTATAGAATAGAGAAAACTGAAAATTGTTTCTCTTTAATATCCTACAGCCAAAATATTTCTATTTCTCTGATGCTTATATTTATTCTTTATTAATTTTATTGAGGAACAAATAGCAATGAGACAGTTTCAAAACCGATTAGTAGGACAGTTTCAATATTTAATACATTGCATATTGTTGTCTTTGTAGTGATTATTCGTAGAACAAGATGCAGACATGATGTGCTGCCCAAACACTATTAGTACAAATCTTTCTTCTTGAATTAAGAGAAAGTAGTTGTATATCTATCCTATTTTGTATATATAGATACAAAATGGTCCTTCATTTGTATCCCCTTTTTTTGTTTAGTTTTGTCAGAGAAGGGAATTCCCTTGCCATTTAAATATTGTAGGTGTGTGAATTCAGCAAAATAATCCAATATAGTCCAGTATTCCATAATAGTAGTGGGTTATCCATAGGACTGGCCATGTCAGAAGTTGTTGACTTGAGCCCTTTACAGCTCTGATGCTTATATTTAAAAAGAACTATAGGGGGCTGGTGAGATGGCTCAGTGGTCTAAAGCACCTACTTAGAACAAGCTAAAGCACAGGGACCACGGTTCAATCCCCCAGCACCACATGCCAGCCAGCCCCACCCCCTGCTGGGCTGAGCTGGCCACACACCCACACCCACCCACACACACACACAAATAAATAAAATTAAAGAAAATAAATAAATAAAAAGAACTGTATTAGAAATGTTGTATTGTTCTTGAGATCAGAGCTGGAAGCCAAGCCTTAGGATTCATGAGGCATTTATTCATTTGTATGTTTAATAAGCATGTGTCAGTAGTCTCACATTACTTTGCTTTCGTTTCAGATAGTTGAGCATTTTGCTTAGTATCAAGAAACATTTTTTTTCCATTGAGTGATACTGGACGGTGTTTGTCAGCTTAGCTACTGTTGATCCCATGGGCACTGACCAATTGCTACTTGAACTGAAACATGAAAAAAAAAACCCCACAAATACAGAATCCAGGCATCAGGACTGGAAAGAGTGAAGCCAAAGCTTTATTTCACAGGCTCAACTTGCTAAGCCAGGCTTCAGCAGGCAATGTGGAATCCACATATCCTATTTCTTTCTGTCTGTAAGGTCAGGTCACCTGACTGGGTTACAGATTCTGATAACCTGCTATCCTGTACTTCCTAGTGATCTTTTGTTTCACTAAATCAAGAATGAGAATTTTGTGGGTTCTGTTGTCTTGCCAAAGTTAACTGGCCACCTTATATTAACATATAAAATATTCCATATACAATGATCTAATGTAATACCTTTAGATATCCTTGAGGTAGTCCTTCATGGCCAAGAAAATCTAATAAGTGTACTATCTCAATATTTCTTTAAAAATTGTTTTTAATCTTTTATTTATTTATTTGTACAGGGTCTCATGACTCAGCTTGGACTTAAATGATCTGCCTGTCTCAGTCTCCCCAGTGTTGGGATTACAGGCATGCACCACCATGCCTGGTTTTGGTTTCAGTGGCCAGCAAGGCCAGTACAGCATGTGGTACCAGGGATTGAACCTGGTTACTTGTACTTGCCAGGCAGGTATTTAGAACATTGAGCTGTCTTGCCAGCTGCCGTATCAGTATTGCTAAATATTGGTCATATACAGTAATGGAGTTTAGTTGGCTACCTCATTCTACCAAAGACTAGGCTCAGAAATCAAGGCAATATGACAAAATTAAAGAACCAAAAAAGAAAGCCAACATTTAGAACTTTAAATTCCATTGCTTTGGGTTCTTGGTAATTTTGATTCTGAACTCATAGTGGTTGAAATGGTTACCGTGATTGAGTCTGATACATAGATTGCAGAAAACATTAAATTAAATACATGCTGATAACTCCTGCTCTTTGTAAAACTTGGAGATCTCCCTGGAAACACAGAATAAAATGCTTCAGTGTGGTGTCTTAAGGACAAAAGGCTTTTACCCGCACCTCATAATTAAATCTGAAAGATTCCTACGGTGAACTAAGAGGTTTCTAATGAAGTACTAAGCTGCATTTAGAATTTGAGCAGTGAAAGGCTCTTTGTTCTCATTTCAAAAGGAACAATCTGCTTCCCAAAGCAGGCGTTTCAGACCACCTGCAGATTCGAATCTACGCACATTTATTTGGTCCAAACTTTCTTCTACGTCATCTTATTCAGTGTAATTCCAGAGAGGTTTATTGCTAATGTTTAGCAGCATTAAGAAGAGAACAGCTGTTCTCGTAGGGACCAGCCTGGAAGACAAATGAGAAAAATTGGGCCTTTGTTAGCTTCTTCCCCGCAAATGTGCACAACTTTCTGCTGGAGTAATCACCTTGAGCTGGGCCGTGTTTTCTATAACTGGGATTCAGATCTGTCCTTCAACCCGTGGTCACCTGTCACTCTTGTGATTTAAAGGATTAGGTTAAGCATGCCAGCATTGACAAATTTCTCAAATCTCATTTCTTCCTACCTGTGCCAAAAGCAAAGTAGGAATAGGCCAATAACTAATAGCGTAGATCCAAGAGCACTTTTTAATTTGCTTGCAAAACATTGCATATATTAATACATTTTCTTCATTTTAATAGAAGTTAATACAATTTTGATAGAAAGTCAATAAATAAGAATTTGCAATAAAGTGTATTTAATTGTCAGGTTATGAATATTTTCGTTGTTAGGAACCTCGCAGGAGAATTATGGCTGTGTGAGGTCTGGGCCCACGGCCCCCTCTGCCTGGCTGGGTACCATGCTGCCTGCCCCTTCCTTAGTGGAATGTGATCAGCCCTGCCTTCCAGCTCCTGTGTTCTGTCCTGTCCTTTAGGAAAAAAGCCACCCTCTTGTACCTAGGGCGTCCTGTTTATTGCCAGAGTACGATGGGTCCAAGCGGAGTTAGGTAGACCCTGGTGGAACATGGCAAGGAAGGAAGGACTTCAGAACTCTTTTGCTTTAGGAGTCCACAGGATGGTGCTGAAGGAGAGAAACTGAAGTCTGGTACAATAAGAAGTGAGAGTTTTTAAGTGCTCGGTGACTAGGGGCTAAGAACTAGAGGAGCTCACAGGGAGGCGGCTTCTGGAATGAGGCCGTCTGTATGTAGTAACTAGACCACACCGAAGCCCCACTTCTGCCCACCCACAAAACTCTCCCCGCTTCCCTTCCTTTCCCAGCCCTACCCCACCCTTCCTTGTCCCTTCCTCCTTCCTCCCCCTCCTCCCTCCTCTCCTTCCATCTTTCCTTTTCTCCTTTATTCTTTTTCTTGCACTTTCCCTTCCATCCTTCCTATCCTCTCCTTTCCCTTTCCTTTTCCTTTAGTTGTTCTTTTCTCTCTCATTTTTAAAACTCTACTGTGGTGAGAACACTTAACATTTGATCTACTCCCTTAACAAACTTTTAAATATAGAAATTAGGTAGCTCCAGTGTATGACATTGGGCTTATAGTCAAGGATACTGGGGGGCTGAGGCTTGAACCCAGTGCCTCCAGCATGCTGTTCCACTGTGCTATATTCCTAGTTATACTCTGACCCCTCTTCTAATTGTATTTTGAGACCAAGTCTCAGAATCTTGCCCAGGCTGGTCTCAAACTTGCAATTCTGCTACCTCAGCCTCTGAAGTAGCTAGAATTACAGGCATATGCCACTATATCCAGCTAGCACAATTGTTTTGTTTGTTTTTCTCTCCTTTTTTCATAATTAAATACAACCCCAACCATTTGAACTTTGAGACAGTTTCACTAAATTGTCCAGGTTTCATTCAAACTGTAGTCTTCCAAGAGCCCTAGGATTGGTGCCGCCCCAACTGTACTTTCTTTCTTTCTTTCTTTTTAAAATTAACTTTATTAAGAAAGAAATAGCAATGAGACAGTTTCAAAGCAGGTTAGTAGGACAGTTACAATAATTAATACATTGCATATTGTTGTCTTCATAGTAGTTATTCATATGCACTTTCTTGATGACTACTTTCCAAAGTGGTGACTCCAAGCTCCCTGAAAAATCAGAATTCCTAAGTAAAACTAGTTAGAGACTGGGAGGAGTTTGCCTACACTGTATAGTACAAGAGAAAGAATTTTTATTTACACCCTCTCAGTGCAAAAGCTCTAACAACCAGAAAGATACCTGCTCAAAATTTCATCAAGCTGGAAGAAATAATAAGATGTTCTTGGTCACAAGGATCTAGATGTCTAGACTAGCACAGGTACTCAGCTTGTCATTGTCTTCTTAGCTTTTCTCCTTCAGAGTGCGAACTTCTTTAAGAGAAGCCTTCAGCCCAATTAATCTGTTTCAGCAGCATCCAGAAAATTGCTGATTTCTGTAGCAATGTCGGTTTGATTGATGGTGCCGTCTCATGAATAAATGATAGATATAATACACAAATGCTTTCAAGATCTTGTCGATAACTTTGTGTTCATGTCTCCTAGGATTTTTCCAATTAATATTTGTTACCTGTCTGTATGGTTTCAAGATAATTAAAAGCAGTGTCTTACGTTGCCTGCCTGACAACTTGTTCTTTCAACCTTTCTTTCTTTGTGAGGTTGGAACTCATCCTGACTGGAAATTTACTTTGTGGCAGACATATAAGCAGAGGATAAAAGGTTTCCAATCCACTATTCAATCCAATATCCATTGTGCGTTACTGAAGAAAATTCCTGGCAAGATTCTGAGGGTCTGATATGGATCACAGGGCTGTGCCACAGCCAGTCCCTGTGACAGAGCTTGTGTCACTAGGAGGGAGACAGGGAAGTCAAACTGGAAAACCTTTTCTATGTAACTGAAGGAAGTAAAGCAAGTCCTCAAATAATTTGGGGTGCACAGATGCCAGAGAATCAGATCATGATAAGGAGAGTATGGGAGAAAAAAAAATACAGGTAATATCTACTCTAGAAATACATATCAGGCAAAATGTAAATTTAGAAGGAAGAGACTATTTCTTAGAAGAGGAACCCAGTGAAATCTGGCGGGACTTATGAATGGATAGGAACTTTATTAGTCATTAGAGGAAGCATGTTTGAAGGAGAAGCAGTAACAGCCTGAAACTAGAAGAGTTCTTTATACATAAAGAAAACAGAAGGGGTAAGCATAGTTAGTGGCCAAACTGCAGAAAAGGTGACTACAAATGGGAATTTGTGTCCACTTGTGGAAGAGCTTGCAATGGAATTTGAAAACATTTTTTTTTTTTTTGCTTTTTATTTGTTGTTGTTTTTAACACTGGGGATTGTGCCCAGGACTTTTGCACAAAGGGGTATCCTCAGCCCTCCATTTATTAGTCAGTCACTCAGTCTGTCTGTGACAAGATCTCACTAAGTTGCCAATGCTGAGTTTGAACTTGGACTCTTCCTTCCGAAGCCTCTCAAATTGCTTATATGTGGGGCCTGTGCCACCACTCCTGGTTCAAAATTAACTTCTTAACTTACTCAAATGTGGAAGACCAACCTAACCACGTCTTTGGAGAAATCAATTTTGTAGGCTTCTATGAGGTGAGCTGGTTGAGAATGGTAAGACGTTGTTCTCCTCATCTAGGTGAGAAGTCTCGAAAGCCTCAACGTGAGTAACACTAAAATCAAGACACAGGTGGAAACTTGGGTGGACATTACCAAATACTAAATACTGTTCACTGTTCTTTCTCAGTGACATTTCAATATTGCCATCATCCTTTTATTTCTCCTTTCTTGCAGATTTCATCCTTGCAGGCTACAAATCAGGAGATGGATATGTGTAGTCATTGCATGCTTAGCTCATTATTAATATGAAAAGAAATGACTTTCCTGTGCTCAGCCTAAAAATAAATATCTGATCTGGTGTTCTGTTCACTTTTTAATCTCAGAAAAGAAAACATTTAAAAGGAGGAAAATCTACTGCCAAATAACTCAGCACCTCCTGCAGAACCATAAGATGTGGAAGAAAGTCATTGAAGAGGAGCAGCGGCCATCCAGCACCGCAGGAACCTCCCCGGACCAGTCCACTCAGCAGCACCCCTCAGAGCAAATCCAGGCCATTGAGGAAGAAGAGGAGGAGAAAGGAAAACCGAGAGGAGAGGAAACCCCAGCCCCGAAGCCAGACCAGTGACCCTGGACAGAATGGGCTGTTGCTAAACAGATCTTGATTTATCACCGACTCTTTTTTCAAGCCAGCACAATATTTAGACACAACACTGTAGAAATGAAAGAAGATGGGGACATGGCTACTGCACTTGGGAATCCTTCGCATATTATATGTTTATTTTTGCAGTGAGGTACATCGTTAAGAACTTTTGCTCCTAGAAGCTTTCACACTGCAACACCAGCTTCTACGGATGTTGTTTTTAGGGAGGAAATATATACGTGTGTGTGTGTGTATATAAGCTCCCGCGTAGATACATGTAAAACATATTCACACACACGCATACACACAGACACACTGAAAGCCAGCGTTACTGGCTCCACAGTTTAGTAGCATTCGTATTAAGATATATAGTGGTCACTGTGATAATAAATCATAAAGGAAAACAAATTGCATGGAAAGTGGTGTGGCTTAGAGTGGGAAGGGTGCAGCAATGTAGGTTACAACTAAGCAGCTTTTGCTCTTGATACTGAGGGACGGAAGTTCCAGAGCATTATTTCAATTCTGAAGTGTCCTGCCAACATTGTTGTGTGTGTGTGTGGTGTACGTGTGTGTGTGTGTGTGTGTGTGTGTGTGTGTGTGTTTCAGAGAGAGAGGGAATGGCGTTGGTGTGCACATGTTTATATAAATAGACAATTTTTATGGTTCATACAATAGCAGTAGCAGATGACTCACTATGTGCAAACAAACAGCAGGAAGTTTGCTTTGAAGAGTTGTTGCCAGACAGCCATTCCAGATGCCCTCCTCTGAGCTTCAGTAGAGGTAGGTCCTTGGCAGGCTGAGGGCATTCATGGGCCATGTGAGAGGTACTACTGCTATCTACCACTTAGAGGCACTCTACCACCAGGCTCCATCCTGGAAGACAGAGAAATTTTCCAGTCTATTTCCCTAGTGAATATATATGAGTTGCTTGTGAGTATGTAAGTCATTTTCCTAAGATTAAATCAGCTTTGAAGGAGATGACATTCTATATGCATCGACATCCCAAAGGAGCTGCAGGCAAGTAAGAGCTCTAAAAGAATGCCAGAGAAATGGGAAATTACACTTAGGATCTCCTGTGTCTTCTAAATTTGCTAGCAAATGTGTATCAGGAAATAAAGAAAGAAAGGCAAATAGAAATTCACTATGTGTTACTTAACAGGAGATGAAGGAGAAAATAACAACCTAGGGATGGTGTTTGATCCCTGAGGACTGTTGCAGATTGGCTTTGGGGGTCATGGTCCTGTTGACACCTTGGTGTGGTATTTCATACACTATGTGATGGGTGCCTCCATCTTCAGTTTATCCTGTTATGATGCTTCTTTTGTCAGGGAAGATTCTAGGATTGTTCAAGGATTGGGGTATTTTTGAAAGGTTTTTTTGTTTGTTTGTTCTTACTTACACTTGTTTATGCTGTGAGCCAAACCTCTATTTAAAATGTTGGTATTCACTTACAATATTTTATTTCATATTATTATACATGTCATGAGTAGTTATCTTGTTGTAAATATATAAAGACTTTTTTGGTTTCTGTAGATAGTAAACTTTTTAAAAAATACAAAAAAGGGAAAAGGGAAACATTTTTATAAAGTTATATTTTAATCACCATTTTTATACATGGTAGCTATCGTTAAGCCTAGGAAGAAGATGATGGCTTGTTTCCATGGAGATCTATGAGTTACCACTCTTCAAACCTTTCTAGTTCAAATGATAATCTTATGTGATTATATTTGTCAAGTTAATAAGTATGGTGAAAAGAATTTTTTCCAGTAGTTGCTTCTGCTAACTGAATGAATATTGAATGTTTGTCTTCAAGATGAAAGAGTTAACCAAAACCAAATTTTTATACATGGTGTCCATTTCTTTCCACCATAATTTTTGATTATAATTCCTCCTCCCACTCTATGTACATATTTGCTTATCACCTAAACTACTTTGGTTTCCAGGAAAAGGTTGATTGTAATTTCTACTGCTTATCCTCACTGAAGTCATAGAAAAGGAGTGTTTACATTGAAAAAAAAATCCTGTCTTTCAAACATGTACATTATTCCCCTCAAAAAGATGATTTTACAAAACTGCACAGCATCTTTTAATTAGCCAAAGATAAAACATAAGATAAACAACATGATTTCAAGGCAAAATTTCCAGTCGGTAGGAAAATATAAAAATGATCAAATGGATGCAGACTGTACCTAAATAATTAGAATTTGTTTCAGTGTTATTTTTCAGTTAACACCAGTCTTCATTGTTTAGCACTTGCTGAATTGTTTCCATTTTCTGAGTATTGCCTGTGAACTTCTATGTTTGCAAAAGTTACTGTGGGTCAAATATATTTCTTCAGCGAAATGGACTGTTGTGCATCCCTTGCAAATGAAAGACAAAAGGAAATGCATTTATACTTGTATTGTCTTACTTTAGGCTTCTGCTCTCTTCCAAATAGCTGTAAGTCTGTCTAGTTACTATAAATATAGGGAGTAGTTGGGTGTGGAATGGGTGGAATGACAGTACCAGGGTAAATCCATAACTGTATAGAAGCAGTTTTATTAAAGTTACAAGGGCCTAAGCCAGCCAGAATGTCTCAACCAACTGCCTGGTTGAGTTGCTTTTTTAAGGTGCAAGAAATAATAGGAGTATTAATGACCAAGTCAAGTAGAATATCCTTGCTCCACATTTGTATTGATCAATCCAGGCAGATGCATAATTTTTAAATAGCTGTAATATTTAAGCTGTATGTCAGGTGAAATGAAAAGATAGAGACCTACCAAGTGTATACCTTTGACATATACCTGGGACACCTCTACGGATGTTAGGAACTTACAAAAGTATTTTCTCCTAGTGAACTTTCCCCCTCCTGGTGACAGCAATATTACTGTGTTCACGCCCATCTTCAGAGCTTACTTCTTGTGGTGCCAATGTATTTGTTGCAATTTATTACATTTTTATATGAGCCTCCTTATAGGTGCCATTAGATAAACTCAGGTCTTTTGAATGAAGGAGTTTCTAGTACAGTTATGGGAATGGATAATTGTATAGACAGCCATAAAAATCAATAGTAGACAAAATTAGAGCTGGTTGCTCTCCATTAAGCAAAAATCCAAGTGTATTCGGTGTGTTATCAGTGTCATTTTCAACATGCTCATAGGTTGCCTTTCCAGTGATCTGTCAAAATCAACATTTAGAATAGTTTTCTTGGTGAAAACACCACTTTTGCTTCTTTTCTTAATTGTAAAATTATATATACTTTTCGTCATTTATGCAAGATCTGGGTTTGTTCTTAGCAGATGAAGACAGTAGCTCTGTGCAGGAACACATCCATGTTGGTCTTCATCTAACGTGTGAAGATGTTTCTTCAGATGTTCTGTTCAAGGAAGCCTCTATTTTCTAAAGACATAATACACAGTATTGTCTGTTCTATTTTGGTTGAATTGCAGGACAAATCCTAACCATTGCAATCCTAGCAATACTGAAGAAAAGGTATGGAATGTCATGCAGAGTGTTCAGCAGTTGTATGTGCGATTTTCCCATCTCCCCCACCTTTCCTTCCCTGAGAACCTTCCTGGAGGTAAAACTGGGCAAGGCCTGAGCTTTGTATAAATGATGGAAAAATATAAATTATTTTCTAAGTAATAAAAATATGAAAATTATCATTGTAAATAAAGTCTAAAGTTTGAAATGATTGCTGTACAAATTTGAAGTATTTGTTTGATGCACAAATTCTGACTAATAAGTATTGAATAATTCCCAAATCATTTGTATTCTACCTTGAGAAAAATTTTGGTGCTTCCATGTTCTGGAGCTCTCCACTGTTCTTGTAAGTTATAATATGTCTAAAATAATAATGAAACCATTATAAGGGTTTCACTATACTTCCCTTCCATCCTAACTGATTCCCATTAAATGTTTTTCCGGGTTTATATGCCATTTGGAAATGGCTTTTCATACTCTCAGAAATTCTCAGCCTGATAGAGTTCTTGAAGCTTTCATGATTAAATAAATCAAGATTTTCCTTACTCAATAAATTATGAACCAGTTGTGTAGAAAACATATCAGCAAAATTTTATATGCTAATAGCTTAATTCCAGATACTTAGGGGGCTAAATTATGTCAGTATTTTGAAACCAAACTGGGTTTCTACCATCATCTTGCTGAACAAGCAAGGATATTTTTAAGACCACTGTTCTAGGTTTTTCATTTCTCTCATCATCTCTGCAAAGATAAACTATGAATTTACTATGATAAAACTATGATCAGTTTTAAAACCTGGTAAAGTTCAAATTTAAGAATAAGAAACCAGTTAGGTATTTGAAGTGAAAAGCATTCTGAAATTAAATTATTCTGAGGATTTCTAATCAAGGAGGAATGTATCAGTTTGGGGGGTCTCTGTGCATATCATGTTCTTGCAGTTTATTCCTCCAGAAAATATTCCAGTTCTTGGAGATTTGATTGGGAATAAATGAAGCTATAAGCACTGAGTTAACTTTAAACTATCATTTAGATAACTTAAACTAAGTTATATGCAAGTATTTGTATGTTTGACACCAATGAACCATGGTCAGAAAATAACATTCTTAAGTCCATGTTATATGCCATGGATGTTAGGCAGTTTGTGCTATTGCCTTGCACATTGTATTTGTAAAAATATCGTTGCTTTTACCTTAGCTGATGGGTGCTTTCTGCCATGCCAGAAATTGTCTTATTGTACACACTAGGTAATTATTCTATTATGTTAACAATGGAGACAAAAATCATCAAGCCTGTGCGTGTGTGTGTGTGTGTGTGTGTGTGTGTGTGTGCACTCTAAATATATTTGAAGATACTCAAGTAGTGACTAAGGCTTTAATTACTTGATAGAACTTACTCCACTGACTGAAAACAATATGAGTTATTTTAATGTGGAGGAGACCTTAAAGTATACGGAACTATGCAGGGTTGGAAAGTAACATTGGCTTTTGACATATGTTTAATTAAGGCTGTGAGAATGGGCCAGATTTCTCATATCTCATATAAAGGCAGCTGGTTCTTCTTTAGCTCACATTTTTAAGGTTGACTATGTTGGCATGGAGTTTTTCCTGTTCTCCAAAAAGTATTGGTGCAGAGAAGAAAAGTCAACCTTTCTCCTTATAGATAAGACTGAATGTGTCCCATTTCCAAAACTTTTTCTCTTTGTGTCACATCAGGCGTTTCTTTAATCATGAAAGCAATTTAGCCAAACAACCTGTTTGAAAGATAGTAATGTTAAATTTTCATATGTAAACTGTACCAATATATTTAAAATGTTATTTTTCTTGAACCAAAACTGTTAACATTTTTTATTAAATTCATCTGAGACCCTTAAAATGGCTTTCCATGATACAGAGATATTGAATACTTTGCTATAGTCAGACTTAGTATTTTGTAACTAAAAGATTGGAAATTTATTTTTAATACTATCTCGACTTTTGAGGGAAAAGTTTTATAAGTTTCAATGCATACATTAGATTGATAAAAATACATTTACCCCAAGAATTTTCATGTTCAAACTTAGGCTTTTCTGAATTATTCTAAGACAAAATAATGTATTCTATAGCAAGTTATCATGACTTAAGTTGTTGTAAAAATAAATGGTCTATTACATATACATTTTATTTTGCTAAATGCTAACCAAATTAAAACCCAAGTATCTCATGACAAAAATAAAATTAAGCACTATTAATTCTCGGCTTTACAGATGAAGCCCTGGCCAGCTGATTTACCATTCACCTGCATTCATCGGGCAAGCAGGATCAAATGGTAGGTTGAGATCTGAAAGTTACAAACATATTGTAAAAATAAATTGGCTTTTGAGGGAAAAGATTTTTTAAGTTTCAATATATACTAGATTGATAAAAATACATTTAGCCCAAGAATGTAAGTGTTCAAATCTAAGCTTTTCTGAATTATTCCAACACAAAGTAACAAGTTATTTGAAATTTTGTGCTTTATTTTTCAGTATCTCTAAAAGTATCTCTTGGGGCTGGTGAGATGGCTCAGTGGTCTAAAACACCTACTTAGAACAAGCTTAGCAAAACACAAAGCACAGGGACCACGGTTCAATCCCCCAGCACCACAAGCCAGCCAGCCCTGCTGCCCCCAGGTGGGCTGAGCTGGTCACACACACACAAAAATAAACATAAATAAAATAAATAAATAAATAAAAAATAAAATAAATTATAAAGTCAGAAAGTCTATTTCCACTTTCCCTCTTGTGATTGAGGTTTTAATTTCCTGTATATCACTTTGAACCTGTTTCATACATTCTATTTCTTTACTAAACTGCTTATTCAAGGGTTCCATCATTTTTATATTCTGCTCTATTTTTTATCAGTGTATTCTTTAGAAGCACTTAGTACTTCTTTGATTATAGTTACCCCTACGTTTTTTAGTTCAGAAATTATTTCTGATCTTATTTCTTCTATACATTTCTGCAGTTGTTTCTTTACTGCCAATGCTATTATTTCAGAGATATCAGGTGTGTGATTTCCAGTTTCCTCTATGCTAGTGCCTTCTGC